GAAATTAACATTGTTTGCTGCATACTATTCTAGTACCTCCTTAGAGTAGTGGCAGGGTGAAATCCGCTTTTTCAGACACTCTTAAATGTAAACCTTCGACGTCATTGTGTGAGATGTGATGAAAACCTTGGTTTTAAGGCCACAACTGCAGATTCCTTGCCAAATCATTAGTTTTCGAGCAAACTTATCAGAAAAAAACAAATTTATACCTGGAAGGGACATTCCCACGACCAGTTGCCAGGTAAAATTTTCGTCCGGGGATTTGTTTATAATCCATGTTGACACATGTTTCGTCATCCATTAAAATACAGCCATCAAATTTCGTCAAAACTCGTTCGTATAGTAATCGTGCTCGCTTTTTGGCCACTAAATTTTGTTTCAGGGAGCAATTCGAATGTTTACTGGTACAAAAAGACTTATATCCTTCTTTTGAAAGGATGTTACGCACGGTGGAAAAGTTGGAATCGTATTTCTTTGCCAAATCACGTATGGAGACACTTGGGTTGCTTTTCACGTACCTCAACACCTTTCTCCTCAGCTCTTTGTCCCTAGTGCCACTTTCATGATAGATGCGCTGTGCTCTATCCCCACTCAGAGTATCCTTGTAACGTTTGATTAGAAGACTCACCGTTGACTTTGGGAATTTTAACACTTTTGCTATTTTTGATGCAGACCACGAAGGGTTCTCTAGATGTTTGTGCACAATTAATTTTCTTTTCTCAATTTCCATGATCCGTAATTTCGGGATGCGTCGATCAATCGAGAAAAACTTTTCACCAATTTCTTCGTCAACAAATGCCTGTCAAACGTTTTTTGTTCCAACCACCAGGGGCACGGTGGTGCATTAAACCGTGCGTCCAGATTTACTTTGAATCGAGCTTTATCTATAGACGAGTGTACGGATGGATTTGAGTTCACTCACTCGACAAAAAGTGACACAACAGCGAGGCCCTGTTTACTAAAAATGAACACATGAATAATACTCACGTAACATTTGAAACGGGCCTATCAACTTATGTACACAAAACTTGTTAAGACTTTTTCGCGCGAACCGAATATGCTCACGCAAACTAACAACACCATCGGGCAGCGGAAATTCTCCCCTTTCCGATAGTGCTCGTGGTTTGCATGGGCATACTTCGGTTCTCGTGAAAAGGACCTAGCAAATTATTTACAAAAGTTGATGGCTTTGCAATTGTTTCGCGAGCATTATTCATGTGTTCATTTTTAGTAAACAGGGCCCCGCTGTTGAGTCAATTTTTTTACTGTAGATGAACAAAAGTTCAGCCGTGCTCTCCTCTATCCAGCATTTTACGAGCGCTTATGGCCACCACAATCTGACTGAGTTTTTGGTAGGGAACATATGATTTGACGTTTGGGTTGTGTCGTTTGACGAGTAAACGTTCAAATTTGAACGTTTACACGTCAAACGACACAAGCCATACTTCAAATCTTATATTCCCTACCAGAAACTCAGCCAGATTGTGGCGGCCGTAAAATACTGGATAGACAGAAAACCTTAATTTCACGTACCCACTTACAAATTGTAGATGTCTCTACCGTACGTAAACAATGGGTTCAGCCATCGTTGGTGGCATAACTTTTTCACATCAGAAAACATTTTTTGGTTCCACTTCATGTGGACGTCAAAAGCAGGCCATGAATAAGCTTTGAGTGAGACTGTCCAGGTAACAATTTGATGCCTAACAAGTTTTTTTTTTAATTCTTTATTAAAGAGATTTTTAGCCTTAGGCTAGTTCATCTCTAAAAATGCTTAACAAGTGTTGATTAATTAATTTCAATTTAACCTTAGATAGAATAATTGCTGTACATTGACCACGTTAACCTTTGTTCAGCTTTTAAACATCTAAATCTGGTGATTTTAATCAGCCAAAAGCTTAACAGTAATATACATTATAAGCTTTTTAAGGCATTAAATAACAGTCTTTTCCAATCCTTGTTCAGCCTTCTAGTTTTATTTCAAAAATAATAATGGAAGACCGCTTCAAATCTTATGCATTTTTATGGAACTGCTTCAACTTGTTGCTGACTAATTGGATTAACATATTTATTTTGTTAATATAAGTCTAAAAATTACCTTTGCATTTCGGAACTCGAGCCGGCAGTCGCTGCTTCATAGGCGTCAACCAAACCTACTAAACCATTTAGGCATATGTGTGGTGAAAGTTATGATCATTAACTTCAAGCACATCAAATTTAAGTTGAATAACAGCACCCGGAAGAGTATTATACAGCAATTCAGAATTGTAAGCAACAACTGGTAACAGTTAAACATTCCTATCATTTTCAAGTGCACTTAACACAACGTGGACACGAGCACGCGATTTATTTTAATGGTCATTTGGATGCTATTTTAGTGCCATAAATGAGTAATATTTTTGGAATGCGGTCTGAAAATTCTGTACAATATAAGGTGGTGACAGTCAAAACACTAAAGTACAAATGTTAATACTTCCGACGTCCTCGCAGACCACTTCTACTTGGAGCTATTCCTAATAATCTCCTTTTCCTTAACTCTACTGCTGCCACTGCCTGTAATTAGAAAGGTAGGCAGTGAATTTAGTAGAACTAAAATGCCGGACATGGAACGAGTGACACAGACACTGACGACATTTAACAAATCAAGCTATCAATATATATGTAACGCAGTGCTGATTTGTGGAGTTGTGTTAAGCTTAAATAAGGCTTGTTCAATCTTTGGATCAGCTAACCTATTGAGGTTGGATTATGGGGATACAATTAGCTTCATGCACTACTAATCAACTATATATTCAGCCTGATGTTAATCAGCTTTGTACACCTTAAATCAACCAATAATCAGCTTCTGTTCTAAATGTTCAGCTTGTATTGTTACTTGGGTGATGTTGCATTATTTTCCTCATATCTTGGAATTTAATCGATTTGATGAAATCAAAATTCATTATTGAGTCTGGTCTGGTTAATTCCTCGGAGGCATCTGGGACATGCCCGGAACTAATCAATGTGATCCGCGGCGCTCGAAATGGCCACAATTGAATTGGTTATCATGTTTTGAAGTAATTTGTTTTGTCACATGATATGTTTTATTCCTTACAGGTCAAATTTAGTATCATGGCTCACATTCCCCGAAACATGTTCCTGCCACATTTCCAGCATCAGTTGACCGATTCTGAATCTGTTCAATAATGCTCTATGGACGAGGCTATGGGATCATGATTTTCATTTGAAGGTGGTTGTTGCTTGCAATTCGCATTAGTTATTACCGATAAAAACGACTTAGCTCCAAAAATGCATGTTTATCGGAAATAGTTGACCGATTCTAAATTTGATCAACAGCATTCCATGTGACCATAATTCCTTTTGTTAGCCGGTTGTTTCGTTTATTCGGTTGTGTGGTTGCTGACAAACACCACTTAGTTCGCGTATTTCGCGATTTTCGGGTCTTGTTCCGTCCATATCTCCGGGACCAGTTGTTCCATTGAAAATCTATTAATTAACACCCGCATTAACAATAACCATAACCACCAATTCGGGTTATCATTCCAACTTTATGTGGTATGGTCGTACCATCTATGCTATCGTTAGGGGCCTCATAGCCTAGTCAGTAAAGGCACGGTATTACCAAGCGGCGGGTTCGATTCCCGGTCGAGAGAATCTTTCGGGTTGGAAATTTTCTCGACTTCCCTGGGCATAGAGTATCATTGTGCTTGCCGCACAATATACAAATTCATGCATTGGTATTGGCATCAAAAGCTCTCAATTAATAACTAGAACACTAAATTGAGAGCACGCAAAAAGCTAATATGCACTAAGCAATCATCTTGAAATGCGAATAAGAAGAAGAAGAATTATATCGTTAGTGTATGGCATTCTATAGAATCATGGTACCTTTCATTTGATGGCTGCGTTCAATTCGGTAGAGTGGTTGCCGAGAAATTCGTTTAAGAAAAATGTGTTACGCGCTCTCACACACACATACACAGACAGACATTTTCCGATCCCGTCATGTTGAGTCGATTGGATAACTATGAGAAAAATATCAATGTTTTTACAAAAACAAAACTCAAAAACGTTTAAGAAAAGAGTTGATCAAAAATAAGACCAATTGTAAATTTACTCCACCATTTTTCGATTTGACAGAACCAGAGAACCAGAATTTTCGGGGTACATTGACATTATACTGGAGCTGTCAAATAGCTCCCGGGGTGACCAACACAATGAAAAGGTAGGTGAAATTCTCTTGATTGATTGCTCTGGAATTATTTGAATTTCAACTAGATTGTTTGGGGAAAAAATCGCGGTTTTGCAGGTTATGACATCTAGATATGGGCCCATTGCTTGTCACAAAATCTTAGAATCCCCCCTAGAGCGTGACATAATATATGCATCAACTCTATCAGTTTACGTGTTATGACATCTAGCTGCAAGAGCTCCAGATTATCCGGAGAACCATGATATGGCCACTTTACCCCAAAATATCAATTCCATTTAAAATACGCTTTGATCTTGCGATTCTGAACAATATAGAAGAAGAAAATCGCATAAACGAGCGATAACCGGAATGGTAGAGTTATTCCACAAACACGTACTTAAGCAACATAACCATACATGTTTTTTATTTGGGGAACGCTAATTCAAATGCAGCATAGCAAAAGGTGATATTTCCCGCTCATTCAGAGCTACAAAATTTATTGGTTAGGGTGCCGGTCTTACTCCGTCTTCCCCTACATAATATTTAAATTTGAACCGTAGCTGAAATTAGGGGAGCAAATTTTTCGCACTTACCGGAAGCCCATTCCAGTAGAATGGTCGGCACTTCCACGAAGCTAACTGTTATTAACAATGCATGCACCCGCGCAAATTGTCCCTCCTCCTAGAAATTCCTCCATCATCAGGGATTCCAACGCATTCACCGACATTCATAAAATTCCGCGTAGGTTCCTAATTAGAAATTCATTCCCCCACCACCAAAACAACCCACAATAGACGCTGCTACTCACCTGAACCTTGTGCCAGTGTCCGTCGTGCAGATCCCGCCCGACGGTGATAATCTGCGCTCCACCACCCAAGTTGTAGCGTAACCTCAGTGCCCCCTCCACCAGTTTCAGCTCGAAAAAGTCGTACGTCCCCCCGTCGTCGGTGTAGAGCACCAACCCGTTCGGCTGTTCGGTTTTAAACTCCAGCTCCAGGGTGCCATTCAGTCCGGTGTACCACTTCCGGAACTGGGCGAAGCTATTCTGCGATCCATCCAGCACGAAACCGGCTCCCAGGCACCCGAGATAGCCCAGGACCAGGCCCACCGACAGCCACACTCGAGACGCACTCATAAGATCTAACCGTCGGCTGCGACGGTTGCAACTGTTACGGTTATTATTATTGCGATTATGATTATTGTTACGACTGTGCCGGATGCATTCGCTGGAGTTGGGGGAGGTGGAGCAGGAGCAGCTGGGCTGCTGACAGTTGTAGAACCGAGAACGATGGCGTCCGTTGACGGTGCAGCTGCTGCTGGAAGGGGCACGAAGAGCAGCTTGCTCCTCCTGACCTGCTGCTGCTGCTGGAATAACTTTAGGCGCCGACGCCATCTTGGTCTCACCACACTAGTGCGAGAGCTTCCCGCTCTCACTCACTCCCTCACTCTTTCTCGATCGATCTCTCGCTCTGTGCACTCACTGTTGTTTCACTGGCGAAAAAGTTCTAATCGCATTACCTTCACTAACACACAGATGCACCAACAAACGCCGTTTTTGTCACTTTTCCAAAACACTCACTCTGTTTTCCCTTTGGCCCATCTGGGACCTGCTCACTCTCACTCGAAGGGGAGTGATGGCTTCTCGCTCTCACCCCGCTTGTGTGTATGTGTTGTAACACTTTGGGAGCTTTTCTTCTTTTCAAAGGGGTGATTTTTTTTCGTATTGGCAATTTGTTTCACTAGGATCAGTTTTCCTCTGTTTTGTTTTATCAGTTTTTCACTTTTTTCCCCACACACGGTTGTCAACGATGGAAAGCTGAAAGGATGAAAAAATGGGGTTGAAATTTAGATCAGTGTCACGTTTTAGCGGAACTTGTCACTCTCGCTGCAACGGGGAAGAGATAGGAATTCAAGTAGGCCGTGATATGGACAAACGTTCGCACGGTTATTACTTTGTTTACATCAACAATCGTCCGTCAAGGAAACCGGAAAGATAAGTGACGAAGACTGTATGTTCTAATCGCGGCACATAATTCCACAGAAAATCCATCAAATATTCAAGTGTCACTATTTTCGGTCACACCACACTGCCTCGCAGCAGTTCTAATCCCGTACTGAATCGCACTTCTCGCAGTATTCTCTCGGCGATGCTGATCAAGACGTCGTATAAGAACTGCGACTGCAAATTCTGAGAATGAAAGTTGTTTTATAGAGTCATACTGTGGGTTATCAGTCAAGGAACCAACACAATATTATTGCAACATGCATATTTCCCTGAACCCGGTTGCTTTATCAGCAGACTAATCAATACCTAATGAACTTCAGACGCACCATACAAGGGATGAGATTTTTGCTCATGACCTTGATGAGTGATGTAAATTTTAACTATTTTTCAAAGAATTTGTCACTAATGAAATCCCACTTACCGCTCAAATAAACTACTGATTCGGACCATTCCTACAATGGTGTTTCAAAGGTTCCGTGGCCCAGTAATCTAACCACTTTTATGATAATGGGCTGTTTACACTTATGCTAGTTCACTAGCTCATCCAGCTAAAGCAACTAGCACGAGTTTCAGTTGTTCCTGAAATCTCCTGCTGGTAGATGCTGGCTCAATGCACAATAAGGTGCGGCTACTTTTTCGAATTTTCATGAAACCTTAAATTCGTTTGTTTTTCTGGTTCAAAATGGCTTGGCTAGGCAAAAATATTTATCTTTAGAGGTGACGTAAATGTCTTGAAGGTGTATTTTTGACCTTTAAGAAACCACTTTTAGTGAAATCATCGTAACTCTATCATTTGTCAACCAGTTTAAGTTCCACTTGCACTATTCTCTTCATAACTAAATTCCTAAAATGTTTGTAAAACCTAACATCTGTCTAATTCTGCATTAAGTTTGTCGTGATTTTCTTTAGATTTATCTAATATTTTCATAAAACTACAAGGACCAACCCTATGGTGTTGTACGCAATGGTGACGTAGGACTACGTGGTCTTATATAATAAATCTAATTTGTTAACTGCAGCAGGAGCTTGTGTTTTGTGTTTAGGAATAGGAATTTGAGTGGGGTACTCTCCGTTTATACTCTTTAGTATGACGCACTTGACATAGATGGCCCCACAGCGACTCACGAAGAGCTACTGATTCCGATCAGCGGTGCGGCTTCTTCCTCCTTCTATGGATGCTCATGTGGGCTGCAGATCGATTCTTGCAGGCAGCCTTTCGTTGTGTAATGGAGAACACCACCACTCACCACGCGGTGATTGAATAAACACCGTTTGGCGAGACCGGATGGAACTCAACTTTGAAATCTGAGTTAGGGAAATCGCTTTTCGCAGGCATTCGGTGATAATTTTAACTATCAACAGTTGCACATTCGTGCAATTTTCAATAGTGACATTTTGAAAAATGATAGACTTAATTTCAACAATTTCGTAGAAAAAAGTACTATCGATTGGCGTATTCAGAATTAAAATCCATCATCTCTGGATCAAAATCAGATATGAAAGTAGCTGCGACCGACTTTGGTTTTTGAAATTGAACCCCCAATGTTATTGTAAACAGTTTTTGTAAACAATGACTTCTATCGATGATTTTTAGGAATTCAAGGCACAACCATGCAAACCAGCATTACCGTTGGGTAGGGGAAGTCTTGCTCTACCTGATGGTGTTGTTGATTTGCGTGGACAAATCTTGACTTTCAAGACATCATCGAAAGAAGTCATTGTTTACAAAATCTGTTACGTCCTAATTCCAGATCTATCTTAATATGGGAACTGACATCCGATTAATGACTTTGACAAATGTTCAAAAAATACTCTTTTACAAATTTATGATGGTCCAGAAGAGGACCGTTTTGTCGTGATGGTTGAGTAATGCTGAGCTTTTAGGGTGTTAAACACAGATAAGGCTGGTAAGCTGTATGTTGTTTGGAATGAAGGTGACGCGCTTGGCATAGATTGCCCAGAGCGACTCACGACTTCTTCCTTCTTCTATGGATGCTCATGTAGGCTGCAGCTCACTGCTTGCAGGCAGTCTTCCGTTGTGTACTGGAGAACAATGTTCAACGACACGAGCCGAAAGCAATGCTGCTGCTGCCGACGAACCGGACACCACCACACACGGAGATTGGAACTAAATCCGATCAGCGGTTGAGGCCAGCCTTGGTAGCTAGCTGCTCGCGGGGAGCATTTCGTTGTGTCCTGGAGAACACCACCACTAACCACCCGGTGATTGAATAAACACCGTTTGGTGAGACCAGATGGTGTTCAACTTTGAAATCTGTGTAAGAGAAATCGCTTGTCGCAGCCAATCGGTGATAATTTAAATCATCATAGCAACAGTTACACATTCGGGAAAATTTCAACAGTGTCATTTTGAATAATGATAAAGTTTTAATATTAACAATTGCGCAGACATATTTCTGATCGATTGGTGATAAAGTTATTGAAATTGTTCCAGCTGAGTTATTAACGTTCAAAATCTTTCAAAAGTTTGTTACATGTTCCATTTTAGGTTTTCACAAAGTGTACCCCAATATAGAAATCACAGACGTAGTCCTACGTCAAAAATCAATCTACTTTGTAGTTTTTAACCCAATTTGAATCTTGGGCACTAATTTAATGATAATTACGTGTACTAAGAACTTTTGCAACAAAGTATGCTTCTGAAATAATATTCTGGTATAGTTATAATTGAAATAAAGTATTTTGTATACGGATATATTTGATAAAAAAAATCACGTTTGAGTCTGTAACGTTGTCATTTTTTGACCAAATTTGAATCTTTTGGTACCGTTGTAAAGATATTATAGATTTACTTTTAGAATTAAACAAGCTTTTCTAATGGACAAAAGGTCGAATGATGAGAAGATTGATAAAAAGTTTAATGGACATAAGGTCCAATGAACAAATGGTCGAATAGACAATAGTTCTAATGGAAGAAAGGTCAAATGGACAAAATGTCGAATAGACAAAAGGTCGAATGGACAAACGGTCGAATGGGCAAACGGTCGAAGAGACAAAAGGACGAACGCACAAACGGTCAAATATACAAAAAATCAAATTATAAGAAGGCAGACAAAAAGTCGAATGGACAAAAGATCGAATTGACAAATGGTCGAATTAACAAAAAGTCAAATGGAGAAAAGGTTGAATGGAAAAACGGTCGAATGGAAAAACGGTCGAATGCACAAACGTTCAAATGGCAAAAGTAGATGGTCCTGTGCCTAGGGGCACGAACGGAAGCTTGACTTAGGACCGCTAGAGGACGGAACAACTATGTTGATAATTTAGTTCTTAACTCTTTCCGTTTTCAAATTGGTGGCCCTGAAAAGGGCCGGTTGTTCTTCAAATGGTGGCCACACCAGTGCAAGTCGATGCCAACCGGATGATGGTGGCTTAATCATGCTTCCTATTGCGGGAAGTCTTCGTATTGTTGCGATGCGTGCTGTTCCACTCATACGTCGTGTCTGACGCTTATTCGTCCATTGCTCGAAAGCAAATGACGAAGAAAACGATTTGCCAAGCGTTTTTATAATCGCTGCTTTTCTCCTTCCTTCCTTTCAGTGGTGAAATGGTGAGTTATCAATGTGAACCATGTGAGCAAGCGCAATGTGTCGTTTGTTCGATTTGCGCTCTATCGTTGCATCCGTGTTTGGGATTTTTCATTACATGACTGAATTTCGTTTTTTTTATTATGACCCCCAATATAGAAATTAAAGACGTAGTCCTACGTCAAAAAGGTCAAATGGAGAAAAAGTCGAATGGAGAAAAGGTTGATTGGACAAAAGGTTGAATGTACAAATCTCAAATAAAGAAAAGGTCAAATTGACAAAAGGTCGAATGATGAGCAGGGGGACAAAAAGCTGAATGAACAAAAGGTTGAATGGACAAAATACAAGTGGTCACTCTACAAGCTTATTTTACGCCAACGCCTCAAGTATGCCACGCTGTGCCGGCAGTGCCAACAGTGCCTGTCATCGGGCTAACTTTGTTTGTGAATAATTGCATGCTTGGCAACCTGGTTTTCTGACAGTTTGAATGTTTTGTTTTTCTTGCCTAGAACATTATACTGGGAGCGCGACCGGGATGACGCTAGCCGAGAAACGGAACTTAAGCTGCGTGACAGGCTGCGCGATAAATATGCCAAAATTTGCGAAACGTTGTTGCAATGTCTGGTGTAGCAGCAGCAGCACCTGCCGTCGTGGAAGCAGTGCGGTGAAAAATAACAACGCAGTATCACCAAAGAGGTAACTCTAAGACTAGAAGGTCCCGAAATAACGTGCTCAACTTTTTGGCTCAGCTCTGGTACTCTCTTCGGTCCCAAGCTAATCGATTCACCCCTCGAAACATAGGAAAAACCAATCACCCCTTATTTTATTTGTCAAACTTTCATAGCGAATCAAAACAAACATTGCGTAGTACTAGAATTTCGACTAGAATGGGATACGTTAATCGTTCGCTTGGGACCAATAGGCTAGTCAAGTAGTGAGCTAATTTAAAATCGTTAGTTTCGTATTGATTGTTGGTATCACGACGAGTAGCTCCAGCCGGATGGTATTTCAGGCTGCTACAAAAAATTAGCTTGAGCATTGTCCTTCTGGACATAAATCCACTGTCAGCTGATATATCTACACACTTAGAAAGAATCATGTAAATTTAGGTGCTCTGAGAGTGACATATACGAGCGTCGATTTTGACATAAATTTGAGCCATAACCGACGCGAAATATAGCTTATTCAAACGTACTTTTCGTCGAGTAACGAACTTTTGAGGCTCGGAGCACTTAATATTACATGCCATGTTTGTTTACGTCT